GACACACATAGGGTCACCTCGAGTTGATTCAATGGCATCTGGAAACTGGTATCATTAAAAGGTGGACTAGACTCTTAAAAAGTTTAAACTGAAAAGTACTGAGAGATCTTCTCGAGCTGTATTATTACTGGGTAGTGTTAAGCAGATTGTTTATCATCGTTTAGCTGTGTCATTTTCTGGTGGCGATGTAACGTAATCCCAATATCAGCAGTTCAAACCTACCAGCTGCTCTGAGAAAGAAAAATGAGAACGTCAGCCACTGTAAATATATACAGTCTCAGAAACCCTTTGTGGGGCTGTTCTGAGTTGAAATAAATTCTATGAAAGTAGATTTCTTTCAGGTCTCAAACCAAAACAAAACCTACTGCTATCTAGTTGATTCCAGCTCATCGTGACCTTCTAGGACTTTGTAGACTGTCAGTCTTTACAGGAGCAGACAGCCTCCTCTTTCTCCCAAGGAGCGTCTTACGGGTTTGAACTCTGCTGGTCTTCTGGTTAGCAGCTCATTGCTTAACCTACTGTGCCTGCAGGACTCCTTCCTATAGATAAAGGAGTCTTTAGTGAGTGCCTGAAAATTCTTTCTAGAGTCAGAGCTTGTGGGAGCACACAGGTTTTGAGACTAAATGTCATGGACTTTTAATTTAGGTAAATAATATGGAGCTGAAGATGCAGAAGACGCTTCTAACTTTGGAGAAGTTTAGAGTCGATTCAGGCTAATATTTTTAATAGATGTTAAGATCGGAGTATCTCAGGAAACACATCTGACTGTATAATTCACAAGTAAAGATTGCCTCTGGCAAAGAGAATCACACAAGTCCATGACAGAGTCAGCAACATTTGAACTGAGCTTTAAAATGGCGCACACCGTTAACACTCAACTGCTAACCTGAAGGTTGATGGTTCAAACCCACCTAGCAGCTCCATGGGATAAAGATCTGGTGACTTGGTTCTGCAAAGTTTACCCTATGGAGTAGTTTTACTCTGTCATACATGGATGACTTTGAGTTTGAGTCAGTGGCATAATCTACTATTACTACCATGATTGGGGAGCATGGTGGTTTAGTACAATAAGCACTGGTCTGTGAACCATAAGGTTCTAGTCCACTAGCTACTCTGCGAAAGAAAGATGCTTTCTTCTACCACTGTTGTTGTTGTTGAGTGCCGTAGAGTCGATTCCTACCCATAGCGACCCTGTATAGGGTTTCCAAGCAGCAGCTGGTGAGTTTGAACCACTGATCTTGCAGTTCAAACGGCTTTGCAGTCTGTCACATTAACCCACAGGGCCACACCAGCCTCGGAAATACAGGGTTGCTATGAGTCAGAACCAACTCCCCAGCACTTAAAAACAATAGTAGTTATCACTACTACTATGGTTGGAGAGTATTTCAGTTCCTGCATTGAGGGTTGCTTCTTCTTTTTTTTTTTTTTAAACTTTGATTGTAAAAAATTTAAGGTAAACAGAAAAGTTATAAGAGTAGTGCAATGGATATCTGTAGATTCACTACTTAGTTTCAGCAGCCGTTAACTTTTTTCGTACTTGTTTCAACTTTATATACGTGTGTGTTTATATGTGTATGTGTATGGTGGCGTTTTGTAGTCATTTGAAAGTAAGTTAGAGGTATCATAACATTTGACACCTAAGTAGATCCTCAGTATAATCATTTTACTCTTCAGTATATACCCACATATAGGCAGCTCCTAAAGCCATTCTCCTACATACCCACAATTCCATTATTGAAAACTGAAGAAAGCTGACAATAATATGTTAATAGCACCAAATATCCACTCTGTATTCCAGTTTTCCTAATTACTCCCAACATGTCTTTTAAAGCTGTTTTTCAAGTCAAGATTTAATCAAGGTCCACACTTGGCATTTTATAACTCCTTAATGTCTTTTGGGGAGTCATGGTGTGGCACTGTGGGTTAATGTGTTGGATAGCAAAGCCAATTTGAACCGTAACATTGGTGATTCAAGCTCACCAGTCACTCCTCAGAAACCCTATACAGGGTCGCTATGGGTCAGAACCAACTTGATAGCACTTAACAACAACAATGCCTTTGGAGTCCTAGTGTGGCGCTGTGGGGTAATGCACTGGACTGCAAGGTCAATTTGAACCTCAGGGTCAGTGATTCAAACTCACCAGTTGTTCCTTGGAAACCCTATACAGGGTCTCTATGAGTCAGAACCAACTCAGAAAACACTTAACGATGACAACAGCGTTTTGTATTCTAGAAAAGCCTACCCTGTCCTCTTCTTGTTCAATTTTTGTTTCCTGACCAGCTGTATCATAACTTTTTTGTTGCTAATTACCGAGCAAGTTTCTTCTTTTTTAAAGACTTAAAAGATTTTTAATCCTTTAAGTAAGTAATTTCTAAGTGATACATTATAAAAATTTCTCTCTGATAGCCATAAATATATAGATGTTGGTCCTAATATGTCATTTTTAGTAGATAATGTACTTTAGTAAACATAAGGTAGCTGTAAAATATTAAATGGTTGTTGTTTAGTACTGTTGAGTCAGTTCCTACTCATAACAACCGTAAGTACAGTAGAATGAAACACTGCCCGCTCCTGCCCCATCCTCACAGTCATTAAACTGTTTGAGTCCATTGTTACTGCCTCTTTGTCAATACATCTTGTGTTGGGTGTTACTCTCTTTTTCTCCAGTTCTCTGTTTTACCAAGCATGATGTCCTTCTCCAGGGACTCATCCCTCCTGATAACTTAGCCAAACAATTAGCAAGATATAAAATTAATACAGTTCCATTTAAAATCACCACCATGTATCTCTGAGAAAACGCCTGATAATCTTGGTGAACTTAAATCCTCTTCTATTTGCTTTTGTGTGTTTATTTATTATAAAATCTGAGATCATGAATGCATATTAATTGTTTTGCAGTTTACTGTTTGTTTCAATTAACTATGTATTGTGGGTGACATCTCGTAGCATGTGAACTAGGGATTGTTTTTAAGAGTGGCTAAGATAGATTTGCACCCCAGCCACATTATTTCAGAGGTGTTAAAGGTATGACACACCCAAAATGTAGAGTGCCTGGTTCAGGATTAGAAATGTGACTTGTGCCCACAGAGCAAATGTTTTCTTTTTTTTTCTGTCTTTTTAGGCTCTCTAGCTAATGTAGGAATTGGATCTTGGTATCTTCTGCCCCGTGCTTCAATAAGTGGAGGGAATGCATGAGTAACAAACATTTTAGGGCTCTGTATTTGAATTCGGGCTCTTCTGCTTTTGGGGTGTGTCCTTCCATATTCTTTTCTGCAGATATCAAAAAAAATAGGTTGGCCAACTTTGGAGGTAAACATGACAGTCTGCCAACATAAAGTGATTTAGAAATGTTCATATATCTTGCCAAGCCAAAGTCTCTAGCCCATGTATTTTAAGATAACATGAAACATCTACCTGTCATGATAAGGAATGTGCCCAGGGCTCATATCACAGACTGACTGTGGGAGTCTCTGGGGAGTGTGTTGTTGTGTTGTAGGGTTGTGCCCTGACAACCCCAGGGAGACCTCAGATACTGATAGGGAGTGGCTTATAGAGATGGAAGCCACTGAATTTATTAATTCACGAATTCATGCAACTAAGGCCCTTATTCATATTTGCTCATCTGTGTGTCTTAGGGCACAGGGATAGTTCTCTGTCAGCAGGTAGATGAAGGGAATAGATGAGAGCCTGACTTTAACAAAACAGTCTCCTGAGCAAGACATGGGCCTGTGTGGTGAGAGGAGAACAGAAAAGTTGTCTGGACAGACAGTTCAGGGTTCTTTGAAAGACACACATAGGGAGCCTCCCTTGATAGCATTGCTGACTCAGGGTGGAGCAGGTAAAGCTGCTGCTCTTGTTCTTGTGTGTTTGTGTGTGTGGGGGTGGGAGTGGGGGGAGCCCACACAAACACACACACACATCCCTTGTGCTGTCCCTGGCAATACTATCATCCCTTTCCTTTGATGGGACATCGGTCTGTCAGTAAATCTTGTTATTAGTTCAATTATCTGTGATTTGGCCATAGGGCTTTTGCATCAAGCGTTCTGTAAAGAAACAAAATAAGGGTAACTGTCTATCTAAATGCCCTATATCTGTCTAAATACTTGCTCAACAACAGCAACAACAAAAAAGGACAAGAAATAGAGGTTTTAAAAGCATTAACAAATTCATATATTAAAAAAAATTTATTTTTTTAAAGTGAAAAGTAGCTGACGAATGCATTCTTCTGTTTTATCTGTGCTAATGTTCGGAGCCCTGGTGGCATAGTGGGTTAAGCACTGGGCTATTAACCACAAGGTTGGCAGTTCAAACCCCCCAGCAACTCTGCAGGAGAAAGATAATGTATTTTGCCACTGTCAAGATTTACAGCATCGGAAACCCTAGGAAGCAAGTCTACTCTATCCTACCTGGTCTCTGTGAGTCATAATAGACTTGATGACAGTATACTAGTAATAGTAGTAAACTCATGTTAATAGAAGTTTACTAAGAATCAAAACTTTAAAGAATAGAAAGTTCATAAAACTAAAGAGATAGTGTCCAACAAGTGAGGAGGCATCAGAAACCCTTTTAAGTTCAGGTTCAGTGAGCTATTTATATCATTCAGCCTTAATTTTTTTCATCTGTAAAATACAGATGACAATTTTGTTTCTTCTTTAAAGCACATAGGGCTGTACAGTGAAAATTGCACAGATATTGGATAGGCATTGGTTTTGAATTCTACCATTACCATTTACTTTCTACTCCCTTGGTAAGTTCTTCCTCTCTGTGAATGTCAGTTTCCTCACTGGAATGTAGATTTTATCATATCACCTGTGTAAAATAATTAAGTGCCTGGGTTCTGCCCAGACTCTTAGAAGCTGGAGCATGCTGCTTCTTCGATCTGATACTCATCAGTTAGGGTGTGTGTGCTTGTATGTGTGTTTGTATGTGGGTAGGTGCTATCCCGTCCACAGCTTCTCTTCCAGCTAATGACTGTGCCACTTATTTTCCATTTGCAGCTGTATTCCAGAGTACCACACCGGGCATGGATACCTTTTTCCATACCTGGAGTATAGTCGGTACTGGCCTCACCCAGTCACGAAACTGCTAAGGACATCTCCGGGGCGTGTGCACCAAGCCAGCAAGGCGGCGTCCCAGGACCACAGAGCCATGCCTTTCGGTCTGAAGCTCCGCCGGACCCGACGCTACAATGTCCTCAGCAAGAACTGCTTTGTCACCCGGATCCGCCTGTTGGACAGCAATGTGATTGAGTGCACACTGTCAGTGGAAAGCACAGGCCAGGAATGCCTGGAGGCTGTGGCTCAGAGGCTGGAGCTGCGGGAGGTAAGAATGTGTGTGTGTGTGTGTGTGTGTGTGTGTGTGCGCACGCGCGCGCGTGCGTTTGTGGGGGGAGAGTTGTTCGAGGGAGAACTTGCTGAAGGAACCGACCATCTGTCTCTTGGCACCTGCCTTGTTTTCCAGCCCAAGGAATGCGTTTATAAAAAACCTGTTATTCTTAGCATGGGCTTGCTCTGTGCATCAGGAGAACCTGCCCTGATGTTGTGAGCAGTAAGGACACCGCTTAGAGCTTGTCCTGGATGGTGGTGTCCCTTCTGTTTCAGTTGGTGGGGAGGGTATGGAGGAGTAGAAAATGAGAGACTTGTCCCCACCAGAGCCATTTGCTCTCTTTTAAAACAATCACGAGTAGCTGGTGACGTGGCATGTGGCTGCTTGTCAAGGAGAAAAACTCCCACATACAGGATGGATGCAGCTGATTTATTTTTGTTTATTTGTGACTATATTTTCCTCTTCAGAAGGAAAAGCAGAGAAAAAGCTTTTGGAGTAAGTGTGACCAGTCAGGCTTTTTGTGGGAACTTGTGAAAAGGGGGTTTTGCACCCTTTAAGGTCCTTCAAGGCTCATGCTTTCTCTGTAGGGTTCATGAATCCCTCTTTGTGACTTCAAATAAACAGAGTGTTGACCAGTGATCAACATTTACACACTTGAACATTTAACATTTAGATGATCACGTTAACACTCTTTAGAAAAGACTCTTAGGGCAGTGTGTCCTGTATAGTAAGCAAACCTTGCTTTTCCCAGTCTGATAGACACTCAGTAGAAGGGATGCTGGTGAGAAATCCACATTTGCCTGTTTGCTTCTTGAGAGCTACATGACCTATTTGCTAGTGGAGTAAGGTGGTACAGTAGAATGGTTGTAGATACTGACACATCTACAAGTCCCCTGAGATCCATGCTATCCTAAAGGCAAGAAATGTTGTCTCTGCATTGCCCAATAAATCAGAGGGTGACAGAGAAAAGGGTTGATGGTGCTTGTCACAAATGGTCACGTTGAGTCTCTCCTCCCATCCCTCACGTGCCATCCTCCTTCCACTTGCACAAAGTAGTTATGGTTATTGAAGGTCTGCCCTTGCTTGCTGTCCTCTAGGGAATTGTTTTACCTGGAACACTCCTGTCTCCTGCTGTTCTCTCTGTTTATACTTAACTTTTAGTGGTGAAATCTTCCCTTGAATATTCTCCTGTGCAGGAGACTGTCCTCCTCAGCAGGCAGACACACCTTGATAGCTGATGAAATAGAATCAGCGTGTTAGATGTTCTGAACTTACTTTCAGGTAGCCGTCTGTTTCTCTTTTGCTTCTAAGTGATGTATTATTACCCAGTTACCATCTAGCTGATGCCCACTCATGGTGATGTCATGTGTGTCAGAGGAGAATGATGTTCCACAGTATTTCCAGTGACTGACTTTTTTTTTTTTTTTAATGAGATCGCTGGGTCATCTCTGGAGACACCTCTGGGTGGGCTTGAACCTCTAGTCTTTCCATTCGTAGCCATATGCATTATTAACCATTTGCAACACCCAGGGATGGTCACATGTATTGAAGTACATGCATGGGGCATAAAGAAAATCAGTGCTGTAGATTGCGTGGGCAAGAGACTGATGTAAATTCTTCTAAATTTTCTTAATTAACGACTTTAAAATGACATGCAGCAATTTTACTTTTGAATATTTCCGCTAATTCAAGTTAGAGTAACTTCAGGATACACTGGGAAGCAGTGTGTTCTTATTGTTCAATGCCTCAGAGTCAGTTCTGACTCATACTGACCCTGTATAACAGGGTTTCCAAGGAGCGAGTGGTGAAGCAGTATAGTGGTGTTGGTTATGTGCCATGGAGTTGGTTCTGACTCATAGCAACCCTATATAGGGTTTCTGAGGCTATAAATCTTTACAGAAGCAGAAAGCCTCATCTTTCTCCTGTGGAACTGTTGGTAGTTTCGAACTGCTGATGTGAGGTTAGCAGCCTGACTCATAACCAGTACACTAGCAGAGCTCCTGTGAAGCAGTATCATGTGAGACTCAGACTTGAGTTTAAATGATCCTGCCACTTACCAGGAGAATCACGGAAATGTTCTTGAGCGTCTCCATTGTCAGTCTTCCCATCTGTGAAGTGGGCATAATAATACCTAAATATTAAGAGGTGCTCTATGGAAAATGCTTAGTGTGATGACTTAGGATTGTAAAATCTTAAAAGTCTTAGAAGAACATTCATTTCGAATTGAAGAAAATACTAAGCAGCTGCATTACCCCATACCTTATTATATTATAAGACTTTAGGGACACTAAGACTAGTAATCTTTAAGACTGCATGGATGAATAGGGATGTGACATTTAAATCAGCAAGGAATATAGAGTGTGGTTTCTGCAGAAATAGAAGGCAGGGAAGGCCTGCTGAACACTGGAACCCACCCCGGGCAGGAGGAGAGGAAACTTCAGTGAAAGATCAGCAGAGCCTGCCTTCTCTGAACTGGGTCTTGCCGGACATATAGGAGTTTAGGAGGTGGAGAAGGAGTAAGGACATCATCATTACAGCAAACTGGAGTTGCAAAGAGTTAACTGGCCTCTATGAGGGCCTGAGAAGACATTCCTGCAAATCACCAGGTAGCGCTAGAGTGTGAGGTGCATGGGGAGGGGTATCTGCACCTGTCAGCAGTATATTGTTTGCTTCCCTTAAAGAGACGGCAACGAGCAACCCTGGACTGTTCCACACTGCACTGCCACAAAGGATAAGCCAGTGAAATCCATATTCAGCTCGCAAGGCTGTGTTGTGGTGTGATTGATTGTCCAGCGTGGAGGTGTGGTGGCATTTAAGCTTGCTTTATTTTGACATGCCCTAAACGGGTGTGTCCACATTAGAGCAAATCACTTTCTTTTTGAATGGTATGCTTTCATTGGGTGACAGATAATACGGAGGGCATGCTCGATCTTTTGTGTATCAGTCTTACCGACACTCCTGAATTAAAGGATAAAGTATAGTAATCTAACACTCTATTCTTCCTTTGCATACACACACACCTTGAGAAGGGTGCAGCCTCCACCAACAAGAGGGGTGGACACAGAGACACCTCTTCTCAGACTTTGACATTGTATTTGTGTCATTTTCCCAGGTGGAGTCAATGGTGTTTTAGGAGGAGGAAGTGAAAATGAATGAAAAATCTAACAGCAAGTTTAATTGTTATGAAGGCTTGGAGCCAAATTCTGGTGCTATTTGGCCTTGTCATTAGAAGTAATCTGTAGTCTATGTGTATCCTTAAGAGGGAGGTTCATAATAGGGAATTAAAATAGGAGGTATGGTGGACTTTTGAGAGTCTCATTGACATTTCAGTGCACTGAAGTGTCAGTTCTTTAAATGGCATTCAGAAGGGCCCAGACCTGGTTCAGATGGTTAGCAAGTGCTGGCTGACACGAAGATGAATGTGACAGATTTACTGTTCCCAGTAGACCTAGAGTTTAGAGACTAGTAGAAACAAGAAACAAAGCAAAGGGAATAGCTGGGACTGAGACATAGAAAAAGGAAAAGCATGGAACTTTAAGGGCAGGGCAAAGTTCAGTTTGCATCCCTCTGTGTGTGTAGAGGGGGCTACAAGGCACGCTCAGGGTTGAGGGTGGAAAGGTGTTTTGAAGGGCTTGCTGTGTTTGGCTTGCAGACATCTTGTAGGACAGTGTTTCTTAAAAAGTCTTACAAAGAATAATTAAAAGACTCACCATCTTTTAATGGAACACATACTGTATTGGTACTTTTTCTACCATTATCTCATTTAATTCATGTAACAAGTTTGTGAAGTGGCACCTAACAACAACAACAATAACTTCTGTAAAGATGACAGCCTTGGATACCCTATGGGGTAGTTCTGCTCTTTCCTACAAAGTCACCATGAGTCAGAGTCGACTTACAGTTAAGGGTTTGAGTCTCCACTCTAGTTCTTAAAGAGCCTCAGTAGGGGAAAAGGTGCCATCGTAAAGGTTTTGGGATACATTCTCATAAATTCTATAGCTTGTGGGTTTTTTTGCAAGTGTGTTTTCCACCGAAACGCAAGTCGATTTTGACTCATAGCAACCCTACATAGGTTACCAAGACTGCCGATCTTTATGGGAGCAGAAGGCTTCATTTTTATCCTGTGTAGAGCTGCTCATGGATTTGATTCACTAACCTTGTGGTTAGCAGTCCAGTGCATAACCTACAGTGCCATCAAGGGCTCCTTTTAAGTGTGTAAAGCCTATTGTAACTACTGTAGCCTTCATTTAAATAGTCTTTTTAATGGCTTTGGGGAAAAGTCCTGGTGTGGCGCTGTGGGTTAATGTGTCAGACTGCAAAGCTATTTGAAGTGCAAGGTTGGTGGTTCAAACTCACCAGCAGCTCCTCAGAAACCCTATAGAGGGGCGCTATGAGTCGGACTCTACTCGATGGCACTTAGCAACAACAACATGGCAATTAACAACAACAATGAGATAGAAAGCCCTCAAAGGATTTCAAGAAGTGTGACATGCTTACGGCTGACTTTTTTGGGGAAAGAATCCCTTAGCAGAAAAGAATGGGGGCTAGAAGGATGAATGGCAAGACAGATAGTTAAGGTGGAATTAGTAGTGGTCTGGCCAGAAGAAATAAAATGAATTTCTTAGGAAACAACCTTAAGAATTTTGTTTTAAAGCTCAGTAAAAAAAATAACGGTGAATCTCTCGCCAGAGATGCTTTTAAGGAAGAGATTCAAGAGGTACAGAAGGCTCAAAAAAACACAATGCTGACTGTTTAGTTCACCAAGTACCTGTCTCTGTAGAGTAACCACTTTCTCTTTCCCCCTAATGAAATCTTTGCTGGTGCTCAGCAGAGGAGACAGGCTATGTGGAGTCCCATTTTCGCTGTACTGCAAAGTTGGTTTGAACTGCAAGGTCGGTGGTTCAGACTAACCAGATGGTCCTTGAAAACTGTACACAGGGTCGCTATGGGTCAGAACCAACTCGACAGCACTTAATAACAATAACATCTTCTTATGC